AAAAAATTCATAGTTATAAGGTTACAAGTGGTGCTTCTCAGCTAGCACGGATTGATTACAATCCTAGCACAAGTGAAAGCATGAACCTTTCTGTTTTCCATCTCCTTTTTTCCTTTCCCTCCTTTCCCACCTACACACACACACACACACACACACACACACAGAGTACTAAATGCCTGGCTGTGACTGATAGCACATATTGGACTCTAGGAATACTGGTGCTTTTTTTCATTTGCTTGTTTTCCTTGGTATTATTGTAAGAAAGAAATTATATTAAAATTATAAACAGCTACAATATCCACATTTGGTTGATATTTTTTGCATGTGTGTCTAATAAATTTTAGAATTGTGCAAAGTTACTATAATACTTCATGAGTCTAGACAGTTTTTTATAATCTCCTCTTCAAAGGAAACATCCCAAGAAATCACCAAGGACTCCAGGACTACAAAGGAAATTAAAAGGTATCTCCTTGAAACACTCTGGCTATTAAAACTGGACTTATTCAGAGGCACAAAAGGAAAACCTAAGTCAAAAGGCAAGAATATGTAAGAAATTGGTATATAAACAGAAACTACTGCTCAGGTGTTGAAAGGAGATAGCAGAAACTCGGGGAAAAAAGGATCTGCTTTAACATCAGGTCTGCATTTTGAAATCAAAACAGAAACTTCAGAAAGAGAAAAGAAATTTAAATCTAGCAAGTATAATTGGTCATTCATGGTACTTCATGATATGAAGAAAGAAGAAACGGGCTGACTCTGAACCAATGAAGTTTTGAAAAGTCAACTGAATGTGTGAGAAAATTTCCAACATAGGTAAACCAAGAAGGTAGATGTAAGTACGGTGGGAGAAAAGGTTGTTGGAACTTCTGTTGACTAGTTTCTTCAAACTTACATAAACAGGCCTAGTGAGAGACTTAGGGCTTAGCAAATCCCCTAAAGGACCTACCACATTCCCAAAGGTTGACAATATAGCTCACCAAGATTCTCACAATGGAATCAGGGCCAAAACTCTAACACTGATTTTTCTTGGCATGTGTCTTCATCATAGACTTAAGCAGGATGGATTCAAAGACAGCAGATTCTCAGCATGACCAGCAGGGACATCTTCAACTTTATTGATTCACACAACAAATTAAGACTGAGCATGGACCTGTTAAGAATTGTTTAGATGTTAGGGATACAGAGCAGAAGGCCCTGCTCTTGCGGAGTTTACATCCTGAAGGAAAACAAAACAGAGCAAACATGAGTTCAGATTTTGGTAGATAGGATGAAGATAAAGGTTAAAGGGCAGAGAATATGGTTGACTGTGACTGCCACTGGGGTGGTTTTTATAGTAGGGTAGCATTGGAAGGAATTTCTAGAGAGGTGATTCAGTGGAAGGAATTCAGGGCATATGTCAGGAGAGGAGTGTTATAAGCAATGGGAAAAGCAAGTACAAAGCCCGTAAGATGGGACTGAGCTTGATGTGTTCAGAGATGAGATAGCTAGCATGGATTTAGGAGAATAAAAAGAGGCAAATGGTAGATAGTGAAGTGAGTGAGGCAGGCACAGGTGAGATTAATAAGACCTTGAAAGACGGGGCAGAGAATCTAGATTTTATTTTATGTACAGCTGGAAGGATTTGAACAGAGGAATGGTATGATCAATTTGCTTTTAAAGGGCCACTCTGGCTTCTGGGTAGAGATTGTGGGGCAGGAATAAAAACAGAAGGAACATATAAAGAGGTTATTTCAAAAGTTCAGGCCAGAGATGATGCTCTGGGTTTGTAAACTACAGAAGTAAAGAGAAATAATCAAATGTATTATGTAGGGTAACCCAGCAGGCCTTGTATATGAATAGATGCAACACACGAGGAAAACAGGAATCTAGTGTTAGTTGAGACAAGGAGGAAGGGGAACAGATGCTTTGTCTAGGGGTTTCTATTGAGAAATTGATGACATTAGGAGATGTTTAGTCTACTAGGACAAACAAATTGACCAGAATGGGGGCTTCCAAGAAGGAACAGATGACATGTCAAGGGGTCCCCAAGGACTGACCAGATATTCAGTCTATAATAGGGGGTCTCCAAGGACTGACCAACCAGAAAGAGGTAGAAAGGCCACAGAGTGGAGATATGATCAAGGCCACAAATGAGGGTCTCTGGAGCATGCATACAAGTGAGGTGTCTGTATGCACAAGTGACCCACCCTCATTAACATAGTAAAAATCACACCTACCAGCACCATGACAGTTTACAAACACCATGGCAGCCCCCAGAAATTGCCTTACAAGGTTAAAAATGGGAAGGATTCCCGGTTCCAGGAATTCTCAGCCTTTTTCCAAGAAAAACCATGAATATTCCACCTCCCACTTAACATGAAATTAGGGAATCAGCATAAAAAGGAAAATCTTGTTAAACTCAGGATCTCCTCTTGGAGGGGCTGACCCATTCCTTCTCTGGAATGTAGTATGTTTTAATAAACTTTGGCACTTTGCTCGCTTGCATCTGCTTGATCTGCTCATTTGCTCTGCTAACTTGGTCCCAATAACTATTCCTTGGTACTGGGAACCACAACCAGGGGAGCTCATACCTGGTCCCCCACACCTGACAGTAGGATAATTCCCAGCTTTGGAGCCTGAGAAACAATATAAATAATGGTGTCCTTCAATAAATTTTATTTTCCTGATTCTCTTATGAAAAAAATAACTATGCCAGCCTATCTACTTTGCAAAACAGTTTGACAATTTCTTTAAAAATTAAACATATACTTACCATATGTTCTAGTAATTGCATTCCTGAGCATTTATCCCCCAAAATGAAGAACCCTATGCCCATACAAAACCTATACATGAATGATCATATCAGTTTTATTTGTAGTAGCCCAAAACTACTACAAATAAAACAACCAAAATATCCTTCAATGGACGAATGGTTAAACAGTAGTGTGTCTAAATCATGAAATACTGCTCAGCAATAAAGAGGAACAAACCACTGATATACTCCACTTAGATGGATCTCAGGGACACAATGCCAAGTAGAAAAAGCCAATTTCAAAAAGTCAGATTTTGCATGATTCCATTTATATGACATTCTCAAATCACAAAATTATAGAGAACAGATTAGTAGTTTTCAGGGGTTAGAGATGGTTGGGGGAAAGGGCAGGTTGAGGGAGATTTTTGTGGTGATGGAACAGTTCTGCAACTTGCAGTAGTAATTACAGGAATCTACATGTGTGATAAAACAACATAAAACTATACACACACATTGCACCAATGTCAATTTTGATATTGTGATATAGTTATGTAAGATGTGATTACTGGAGGAAACTAGGTGAGGGAACAAAGGCCCTCTCTGTACTATCTTTGGAACTTCTATCAAATCTATAATTAGTTCAAAATAAAAAGTTTTACAAAAATCTCAAGCAGGTGTGGTGGCACACACCCTTAGTCTCAGCTACTGATGCGCCTGAGGCAGTAGGGTCACTTGAGGTCAGGAGATCAAGGCTGCAGTGTGCTAAGATCATGCCTTAGCATGATCTAGCAAGTGCACTCTAGTCTGGACAACATGGTGAGACTTTCATCTCTTACTAAAAAGTCCAACTATGCTCAAGTATCAGGCAAAATGCACTGTATAAATATAAAATGTAGTATGGTACTAAATACTATATCTGACAAAATGTTGTCTTCTGAATTTATAAAGCACATGTCTGCCCACACATCCTACCACTTTTGGTATGTAACTATCAGTTTAGTTAATCATCAGGATCTCTGTGTGTAAGAACATTTTCCTCCTGAAAGCCTCGAGAGCAAACAGCACTTGGAATTTTCAGTGTCTAACTGCAAGCTCAAATCAGCAAACAGAGTGTGTGTATTCTTATCTCTGTACCTGTGCAAGGGAATTTTAGAGGAACAGAAGCTAAACAACTGCTAACACAGGTGCTTCCAATAGCTTTCAGATGTTCTGAACTATGAAAACTACCTGCTTAGACCCTAGATATTGCCCTTTTACGGGCCAGCCAAGGCCCCTGGACTTCAATATCTTTCTCATCAACATCAAAATCTAAACCTTTGCAATGTAGAATCTCAGAAAAGATGGCTTAGACCAAAAACCAATGACTATATCCAAAGGCTCAAGAGGTGCTAATAACACTAATCACATATTCAATAAAACAATCTTAGGGTTACTTTAGGTATCAGAACTAGGCTTGGATAAATTATCTAAGTCAACTTGGAGGTATGGATGGTGGTCAAATTGCCCTCAAGATCTTTTAAAACAGCTTCATTAGTATGTATTTCCTTGATGTTCTGGTCTTCTGATGTCACCCAGTCTGTCTGAGTGTAGAGCACCTGGTCTTTGGCCCCTCTTGAGGGCATTCTACTTCCAAGAACACCATCCAAGACATTTGGAACTCAGGCACACTTGCTAAATCCTAGACGTTTCTTATTGCTGAATGAGCTTATATTTATTAATACTAATCCTTTTATTCCCTCAAACAGGCATATATTCAACCTAGACTTTTTGTAATGAAGACTAGATTTATAAACCTTTTTTACTAATCTTAATCATAAAAACCTACAACTTTAATTCAGAAATTATTAACTAAAATATTTTATAAACTATATCTCTCACATCAGATCTCGTCTGCTTTTTTGGAATTTAACACATTGCCAACAATACCAGTGGAATGTGCCAGATGCCACCTCTCCTGGTGTCTTCAGGAGACCTCTGCCAGATACGACACAATGAAGAGAGTTAAATCACAGCGCTCCCATTCTGATTTATGTATCACTCTATCCACGCTGTTTTTCATGTGTTATTACATTCTAAAGAATAATATGTATTATTTTGCATTTTTTTATTTTCCAAGGCTGAATAAAAATTAAACCAATTGCAAATGATGTGTATTAAACTCCTTTATGAAAACAAAGTAGTTCATTTTAATCCTATCAGAGATTAGGAGCCAGGAAAATTGCCAACAACAGCAGTTTTTTTTAAAATGAAAAAAAATCAAGATACTTACAGCCAACCATCATCATGGCCACAGAAAACATCTTCTCCACATCTGTGGTAGGAGCTATGTTCCCAAATCCTATGGTTGTAAGGCTTGTCATGGTAAAGTAGAGAGAGGACACATACAGGGAGTCCTTGCTAGGTCCTCCTTCCCATATCCCTGCACTGGTATTGTATCGATATGGAGTCCCAATGCTCAAGGCCAGCTGGTAGAGCCAACTGTCTATTTGGATGGTGTTGGTGACTTCGTCGATGACCTCGTAGTCTCCAATGCTGTACCATATGCAGGCCAGCCAGTGGGCGACCAGTCCAAACACACACACCAGGAGCACGAGGACTGCCGCGCCGTATTCTAGGTAATGGTCCAGTTTCCTAGCAACACGGCCAAGTCGTAAGAGCCGCACCACTTTTAAAGAACTGAAGAGACTGCTGATACCCTGAATAAAAGAAAAGACATGACACGGCACTTTCAGAAAAGAAAAGGCTAGGAAAACAATACAATGGCTTACCTTCATGAACTTGATCATGCAGTTATAGACTAAGAACATACATAAAATATAGCTCTGACTTTAAGTAAACCAAAAGACCCAAAATGGTAAACTTTTATTTAAAATGTACAGATTTCTTCCCACTCAGACATATCTGTGAATTATTATATAATAATATCAAATACAATTAGTTTTTCATTAGATAAGAAACACTCAATTTATTTTCATAAGTGGAATATAAATGGCATAGAGAAAAACTCAATAACCAAAGAAGACAATTGCTTGAATGCAATATACGCAGAGTGTAGAAACAGGGGTCATAAATTCACACCTTTTATTTCTTCTTCCTATAAAACTTTCCCCCTACTCTGAAAGGTTTCTTTTTATTTCTTACTTTTACAATAGCTACAAAAAGCAAAACTCCTGTAAAAGGAAGCCCAACCTTACTCCTGTAAAAGGAAGCCCAAGCGAACAGGAAATACTTGTGTACATATGAGGAGAATGAGCAAATGTCATTGTTGGTTCCACTACCTGCTGCCACAGCCATGATAAGCACTAACTTCTCAGAGCTCTGAAAACGTGAACTAAGCTGAACCTAGAATGGGTACAGAGCCTGCGAAGTCCTATTATCCTCTAGCAATAGTCACAGAAAAGGAAACCAAAAGGGAACATCAGCCAAAAAATTCATATTCTGTTGAGAAGCTTAAAATACCAAATAAAGCATTATCCAAATCAGAGCTTTATTAAATCAAGGAAGGTCCCATAGTTACTCTTTTGGAAGCACATGGCAGGCCACCTGGGGAGGTAGGAAAAATGTATCCCTGATGTAGATCACAAAATAGAGAGGTGGGGGAAGACAAAACAGTGATGGGGCAAGTTTCTTATCTGATCATTACCTATAAGTTGAATCGAGTCCATGACTTCCTTACTGCTAATTCTATCCCCCAGAAATTAGACAAGGAATCTAACATAACCTGCTCTGAGCCTAACTCTGACCAACATGGAGGAACTGGCTGGTGTAACAGAATAGATGTAACATTAATAACACTTTAATTAGGGCATGATAAAGTTCTTTTTATTGTCTGTCCACTCAGGCTGGCCTGCAGTGGCACAATGATAGCTCACTGCAGCCTTGAACTCCTGGACTCAAGCAATCCTCCTGCCTCAGCCCCCCTAGTAGCTAGGCCTACAGACACATGCCATCACATCCAATGGTAAAGTTCTTTATAGTTAAAGTGGAAAAGATTAGGAATGCCTTTGGTTTGTTATACTATACTCCATATGGTAGTGTATGTTTGAAATTTTTCCTAATAAAAATGTAAAACAGAGAAAGAAAACAAAGAAAAGTAGAAACAAGGGAGTCTATAGAAACGAAAGAGTAGCAGGGTCACTCTGCCAGTTTGCTGTCTCAATTTCAATCTCCTTAGGCCTGCCTCTGTTTAAATTGCAATTCTCAAATATTATGGCATGTTTACAGTCTGAAAAGAAATTCTCATTTCCCTTGAACATTTGGGGGAGCAAGAAACATACTGAACTTTAGACAGTTAAAAAGTGTAGAATTAATAAAATGCAGAAGACAAATTGGCATCATATAGTGACATGAGATGTTGAAAGGTAAGAAGGTTCAGGAAAGCTTGGGAGCTCTCAAAAATGGAACTGTGTAATCATGAACAAGAAAGACAAAAGTCAGCATTTATTGAGCACGTCTATAACCAGACTCTGGGGTAAGCTCTGGGGACATTAAGATAAATATGCCTCTGCTTCTGCTCTAAAGAAATCCATGATCGAAATGCATGAAAAACTCAGAGTCCACTTTAAAAGTAAAAACAATGCTGCTGTAAATATTATTTTCTAGTTAGCTCAAACTTTTAAAAGAACTGTGGGACTTCTGTTTAAATATTACATAGAAAAGTCATTGCAACTCTAAAAACAAAGAGAAGAAAAAAACAGAGAGAAAATCTCTATCCTATTCAAACTACAATACAGCCACAAAACCCAACTACAATGTAAAGAACCAGGGCCTACTAGAATTAGGCCCAAATGGTGGAAGGACACTCACCCCTGATCTCTAGCAGGCAAAGAGGGTACCCCATCCTGACAGTCACCTGTTCTGGACTTCACTTACTCACAAGTACATTTTCTAACATTTAGAAGTAGTCCAACTCTACTTAAAATTACAAAATATTTTGTGAGTTTAGAAAGTAACAAAAGATTAGTAAAATAGATATATGTACATATATTCTGTAAGTACTGCAAATTCTCTCTGCCATGAGTTCTATGATATCATTTTCTCCTGGTTTTTAGCCAACCGCCCAATTGATGTCTCCCTCAAAATCATTTTCTAGAGCTACCCTTTTCCATGTTTTTGTTCCGGGTTAGGATTCTCATCATGATCGCCCTCAGCCCTCTTCTGGTTGATCTACCACATATCCATGTCTCAATGGCTTTCTATACATGAATGAGTTGCAGGTCCACTTCTCAGCACGCACACATACAAAAAAAAAAAAACTCTCTCCTGCATTCTTGATACGTAAGCCAAATGTCTGCTGCATGTTTCCAACTTGGATGTCCCATAGGTCTCCAAAAGGTACTGGGTCTCAAGGGGACTCTTTCATGTCTTTCGATCAACTCTTTGTCACCTATCTTGTGAATGATATCATCACTCACCCACTCAGACCTGGAACTGAGCCTCAACTCCCCCTTCTTTCTGCCACTTCCAGCTAGCTGGTCAGTAAGTCCTGAGGATCTCACCGCTCAAAGTACCTAAGTGCTCAAAATATATATACTTAATAAATCTCTCAAAAATTACCCTTCTTTTCTGTTCCCATGACCATGCCTTGGTCATGATTTCATGCTTTTTTCTCACTTGTGTGACATGACTAGTCTGTCCATTAGCCACCCTAGCTCTCTCTTCTGGCTTACTCTACTTCACAGATCACACTACACAGACTACTAGCCTAGTATGTTTTGAATATGCATCTATCTAATCATAACCATCTCTAATATAAAATCCTTTCATGTTAGCTCATTACCTGTAGGATTAAATATTAATTCCCTACATGCAGAGCCCACCAGGACCTACTGCCTGCCTACCTAGTCAGCCTCTCTCCCACCAATTCCTCCATGTGCTCTCTATGCAGCTGCCACTCTCAATTATGTGTAGTTCCCAGAACACCACACTATTTCATGCTACAAGTTATTCACTATGTTCTCCTAGTGGCTACGCTCTCCCAGTTTATGACACTCTCTCCCCCATGTGCACTTCTCTGACATCTTTTCCCTGCCCCTGCCATCTTCCTTGTCACACTCTCATGCTCTCTCCCACTGTGAGAATTAGGTGTCCTTCCTTTGTTTATTATACACTCTTTGCACATCTCTATTACAACAATTATCACAATCACACTTTATACGACTCTGTTTGCATGCATGACACCCCAGGAAACTCCAAACTCCTTGAGGAGTATATCAAATGTCAATTACAAAGCTGGTATATGGTAATATGTAAAGCAGTCAATCATTCAATAAATGAAAGAATAAATTTTTACAAAACAAGCAAATGTAGGTGGTAGACTGGGGGCAGGGGAGGGTTGATTAATAACAAATTCAGTATGATTTAACAGTATAATGTAGGGAACAAAACAGTCAATGTAACTTTAGGTTGCATTAACAGAATATGATATCAAGTATGAAAGAGAAATTCTCTTTAATTTCTCCACTGACCAGGCCACACATGTAAGAGACATATCAAATATATTCATCAGAGGACTGCCAGAAAAAGAATTCAAAACTATCACTTATTTGGAAATGAGAAAGGAACAAAAGAGCAGGGCAGAGCACTATGACTATATTCAAATATACAGTGCATGGATGAGGGTTGAGCTCACTCTATACGATCTTAAGGTGGGAAACCTGGATCCTAGTTGGAGCTACAGGGATAGTAGAAAACAACAAAGGTTTCAACAAACCTGTTCCATACAGTTCCCCAGTTAACTAACCAGAAAGCTCATTCAGATCATTCATTGCTACTTGGAAAAGATAGACAAGGCAATAATAATATTGATAATTTACTACACATCAAGTGTACACTGCTCTAAGTGTTTTCTTGGTATTAACTAACTTAATCTTCAAAACAATCCTATGCAGTAAGCATTATTAAAACATGCCCCAGAAAATGAACTTGAGTAAGTTCACACAACTAATAAGAGAAGGATCCCAGATTCAAATATAGATAGTCTGGCTCCAGAACCTTTGCTCATTCTGAAACACCGTACCCAGAGCATAATGTGTAATTTAACCAAGCACATCAGTACCTTTCATATTGGCTTAAAGATGGGCATTCTTTTCATGACTGAATGAAGGAGATTAAATACCTAGCCTCCTCCTTTTCTCTACTTAGGAAAGGAGCAATGACCCACAATAGGGGTCTGTAGGGGCTCTAGAACTTGATATAGCCTGCAGTTCTCTAACATGGGCCAATCCATTTTATTCTCACAATAGAGGGATACCTACCTTCATTGTTCATATGAGAATACTGAAGCTCAGGCAGGTTGAACAAAGTCACAGTTAGCAAGGAATGGAAACATCACTCAGACTTAGTCCTTCAGATTCTGAGTGTGTTTCCAGCAACAACCAACTGCTGTGCACCCTTTCTGTCTTCACCCCGATCCACCCAACACAATTGTTGCAACATTAATCTTCCTCAGAGACAGCCCTGAGCATTTCCTCCAAGAGCTCACCATGGGCATTAAATTAAACATGATCTCTTCAACAGGTCCTCACTGCCCAACCTCTTCTCTGTCTACACTGCCAGGTCATTTTCCACTATGCCTCTGAACAGCAATTGTGCTCCAGTCAAACCAGACTCCTTTTGGCTCCCAGACATAACCCTGAAGTTCCACCTTTGAATTTTTCAGTGTTCCCTTCACCTACTTATCAAATCAGAAACTTTT